TCCCTTCCCTCCCCTTCCCTTCCCTTCCCTTCCCTTCCCTTCCCTTTCCTTCCCTTCCCTTCCCTTCTCCTGCCCTCCCTCCCTCTGTTCCTCCCCTCACCCTCCCTTCCCCTGCAGATACCATAAAGTAGACTTTCTGGTTTGAAACAATGAATTCTCTTTTTTTATTTGGGGTAAATAAAACTGGGGAGGGGCTGGGGAAAGATCCTGGGATGGGGGAGGAGGGAGGGAGAAGGGGGAGGGGTAGCTCAGGGATGGGGCTGTGGCCTGCCTCGGGTGGTCCCACTGCCTCTTGTGTGGGGCCCTCAGCAGCCACGGGGGGTGGGCTTGTGGAAAAGCTGGAGGGGCAAGAGCAGGAGCAGGTGCAGGGGACGCCTGCTGAATCACTCAGTGGAAGGGACCCACATCCTGGGGACGAGCAAGCATGGGAAGGTGCTGGTCAGGCCAGGAGGCTGCGGGCAGGAGGAGGGCAATGGGGCGGCTCAGCTTCTGGGATACCCTCCATTCCTTCTCCTCCCAGTAGGCTCCCCTAGAAGAGACAAAGCGCTCACTGCCTCGCTGCACTATAAAAAAAAGCTAGATCAATTCATGGAGTTTGGGTCCATCAATGGCTATTAGCCAGGATGGGTAGGCCCTCTGGGGTACATTGGCAGGAGTAGATGGATTGTGAGAGAGATGTCATCCTCTGGCTTCAGGAGTGGGGAAGGAGAAAATAAGAAGATTTAGGGCCTGTAGCACTGGGTCCTGGACTAAAGAGGGCAGCTTAGTTCAGCACCCTGGGCTGCAGGCCCTCAAGCCTCTGTTCTGGGCAGCCCATCCTGGGGGAGGGGGGAGGGAAGAGATGTCTCTGTGCACTGCTGGCTCCTTTGCAGAATGAATGTGGTTGTGTGCACCAATATGGATGGACTGTGTCACACCACCCCTCCATATTGCTGCACATAACATTATTCTGCACATGGAGATAAAAATTAGAGGAAACACTGTACCCGGGCTGCTGCTATTCCCCCAGACCATGTCATCTGAGGGATGGAGTTTGGGGGAAAAGATGGGGAGGAGGTGGAGCAGGGGCAGGAGGAGGAGAGATGGGGGTGGAAACTTGGCCTTGTGGGGAGGATTGTCCTGGGCTCTACATCCCACTGAGTATGGCCTGGTGAGAGTACCCATTGAATATCCCCAATCCATCGCTGAAGGGGAGGCTAATGGAACATGCCTCCCCCCAGAGCACCCAGGAAATCCAGGACTGTGACTGAAAAGCATCCCAATATTTTTTTTTATGGCCCATCAATGTTTGGAAAGAGACAGGACAGAGGAAGGACAGGTACCTTGGGAAACAGCATCAATATCCCTTCCCTTTATTGACAGTGTCGACAGAAATTATGAGATCGGTGAAGCCACCAATATGGCTCTTTTGAGCCAGCAGCCCACAGTCCTCTGATTCTCCACAAACACAGTCACTTTTAACTGTTGCTCCTTTGCTGAGTGCACTGTACTTCCTCCCCAGTGGGAGGGAACAGGCCTTCTCACGTGGTTCCAGGCCTCACACTCCAGTAGAACCCCCAGCTACACAGTGGAGATCCTAGTTCATATGTAAGGGCCCAGGAGTGAACAGGCGTCCATGGCAGGCTATTTTCATTGCACATGTGAATACTGCTGGAGCTGGCAATGAACTCATCATTCACTTGAATAATACCCTACTGATCTTCGCACTCAGGTGTTTGCTTTTTACGCTGTACACAATCGGGTTCATCAGGGGTGGGAGCAACAGGAAGATGTAGCTCAGGAAAATCTGAGGCAAGAGTGAAGAGCTATTCCCGAATCTGTGTAGAATGGACAAGCCAATATCTGGTATGTAGAAGAGAAGCACGGCGCAGAGGTGGGAAACACAGGTATTCAGGGCCTTCAGGCATTCTGTGGAGGATGTGACACTCAGCACAGTTTTGAAGATCATCACGTATGAAAGGAAGATGAACAAAGAGTCGAACCCCACTGTTAAGACTTTAACACACAAGCCATAGATGATGTTGACTGTGATGTCCGAACAAGCTAGCTTCATGACCTCTGCATGTGCACAGTAGGAGTAGAAGAGGATGTTCCTTCGACAGTATTGGAATCGTTTCAGGAGAAAGGGGAGAGGGAATATAAGGGCCACAGATCTTAGCATAACCGCCAGGGCCATCTTGGTTATTGTTGGCAGGGTTAAGATCGAAGTGTACCTCAGCGGGTTACAGATGGCAATGAAGCGGTCAAAGGCCATCAACAGGAGCACGGAAGACTCAACGTTTGAAAGCGAGTGGATGAAGAACAGCTGGGCAAAACAGGCATCCAAGCTGATCTCCCTGAAGTTAAACAAGAATGTGCTCAGGATTGTCGGCATGGTGGTTATCAGTAAGCCAAGGTCTGTGAGGGCCAACATGGAAAGGAAAATGTACATGGGCTCATGGAGACTTGGGTCTCTTTTTATAATGAACAGAATGACTGAATTGCCTACTATTGAAATAGCATACATGAAGCAGAAAAGGATAGCGATCCAGAGACAGTCATCTTCCATCCCAGGTATCCGGGAGAGAAGGAACATAACATGTGTGAATTTGGTGTCATTAACAGCTGACATGATGTTCTGAGCTCATCCAAGGAGTGTGCAGCTCTCCTTTCTGAAAGGAGAAAGAACACGAGATGAGATGATTTGTAGCAAGACATCTTTCTGCTCTCAAGGCACGTCACCAGTGACCCAGGAGCTAAAGGGAGATCACCAGAAATATAGTCTTGGTTTTACAGCATTGATAGGAAAAAAGATTGTCACCACCAGACTGAATCAGACCTGGAGTCTATCTATGCCAGTGCCCAGTGGTCATTCCCAGACACAGCAGAGGGAGGTAGAAGAAGCCCCATAATAACCAGGAGTTAGCCCGCTACCACAGAAAATTCCTCCTTTCACTCACTGTCAAGGCTGTTCCGCACTCTGGCATGACAAATGCAGAAGTGGGGGCCTGCAAGAGCACCCCAAAACCTTGTCTCTAAGGGCTTTGGTACAAAAACTTCCCCCCAAAATCCTAATACCCGGACTTTGGGGAATAGCCGCTGCCACCACTCAAGTATTTCCAAGAAAACGAGGGAAGACGTCACTTGGGAAACCTCCTTCCTAAAACATCAGGGGTACCTCAAGCTCTTTTTCCCCATAAAGCTTGAAAAAGAAAAGAGAAAACAAGCTGCAGTCTGTGGTAGCTCACTCCTTAGTCAGACAGACAGATTGACCTCCCAGGATGCAAAAATGAACCAATATCTGTTAATTAGAAAAAGAAAAAAAACTTTTATTATCAAAACAAAACTACTGTTCCAAGCATAGTTGAGGTGGCTAGATGGTAAGATCGACAAATTGATATACTCAGAGAAAATTCCCTGGGTTAGAAAGCTTCATTACAAAAGAGAGAGGGGGAAAAAAACACTTTTAACAGCACAGACCTCAGTTCCAAATTCCCAAACCAGACTACAATAAAACCTGATGGGCTAATTAAACTTTGCCCTACTTATATATTGTGAGAAGACTTGGAGAAAGAGATAACCTCCCATCTCCCTGTTACCTGGAAGAAAACCACTCTGACCCAGACAAAGGAGGGAAACGATAAAAATTCCTTTATCTCAGTTTGCAATCCCTACCTTGCATTGTTATTGGCTATCCCGATACCTGGTTAAGGACAGGAGACATAGTTAACCCTTTAGTCCCCACGTGTTGGTCAGCTCTCCTGGTTATGACACCCACTAACTATTTAGCTGTGTAAATCAGGAAAGTGCAGAGTACTTCTAATACTTTAACAAAACACCACCACTCTCTGGTGCAATGAGATTTCTTGGTTGCCCATGTAAACATCAAGTCCCTCTGAATCCTGCTGAGTCCTTTCCCCCATTGACATCCTGTGGCTGGGAGTTCCGCAGCCTACTGGAAAACACTGTGAATTTGGCCATTGGGACCTTCCTACAGACACCCTTTCTGACCCTCCGTGGCTGAGTGTTATCCATTGTATCAGGACACATGTGTTAATGCATGGCAAGTGCATGGTGAAAACAGCCATTGTGTTCATCACTCCCACATATAAAGACATTTTATTGTCTCACTATACACAATATTATTTTCTCCACGGCTGACAGTCCAAATTTTGCCACTGCTTTCTTCTAGTAAATGGGATCAGTTCTCAGGTCCAGGTTCTGAATTCAATTAAATTCATGTCAACTGCATCACTCCATATTTACATGTGTGAAGTAATTCAGATCTGTCTATTAATTTTCATAGGAACATTAGAACGGCCGTACTGGAGTGGACCAAAGGTCCTCTTAGCCAAGTATTTGGTTTTTTGAGAGTGGCCAATGCCAGGTGCCCGAGAGAGAATGAACAGAACAGGGAATAATCAAGCGATCCCTCCTCTGTTACCCATTCCCAGACTCTGATGAACAGATGCTAGGGATACCATTCCTGCCAATCCTGGCTAATAGCCATTGATGGACCTATCCTCCTTGAATTTGTCTGGTTCTTTTTTGAAACCTGTTAAGCTGAGGTTCTTCACAACATCCTATGGCAAGGAGTTCCACAGGTTGTGTCTTTGTTGAATGAAGAAATACTTTCTTTTGTTTCAAACCTATGAATTTCATCCGATGACTCCTAGTTCTTATGTTATGGACATAAGTAAATTACTTTTGCTTATTCACTTTCTGCACATCAGTCATGATTTTATTGACCTCTGTCATATCCCGCTTTAGTCTACTCTTTTCTAGCCTGAAAAGTCCCAGTCTTTTTAATCTCTCTTCTATGACTCTCATTCGAAACCCCTAATCGTTTCTGTTGCACTTTACTGAATTTTTCCTGTGCTAAGATATCTTTTTTGAGATGAGGTGACCACATCTATACACATTATTCAAGAAGTGGGCATAAAATAGATTTATAGAAAGGCAATAAGGTATTCTCTGTCTTATTCTCTATCCCTTATTTAATTATTCCTTCAGGGGGATAGCCGAGTTATTGTGTAACTGGTGAAACTTAAAAATCAACAAAAAGTCTAGCAGCACCTTAAAGAATAACAAAACATGTAGATGGTATCATGAGCTAAATACACAGGGAAGTGCTGGAACTTAAGGTCATTTACAGGTGTGGGAACCATCACAAAGGTACCAAACAATAGGTACTTAAGAGCAATTGGCATCTTCTCTATCAGCTTAATGTAAGGCCGTGATAGAAATGTAGCCGTGTTAGTCTGGTGTAGCTGGAACAAAAACAGGACTATGTAGCACTTTAAAGACTAACAAGATGGTTTATTAGGTGATGAGCTTTCGTGGGCCAGACCCACTTCCTGAGATCAAATAGTGGAAGAAAATTGTCACAACCATATATACCAAAGGGTACAATTAAAAAAAAAGTGAACACATATGAAAAGGACATTTGTCTATGAAATTTGATTTGTCCTTTTCACATTTGTTCACTTTTTTTTAATTGAATCCTTTGGTATATATGGTTGTGACAATTTTCTTCCACTATTTGATCTGAGGAAGTGGGTCTGGCCCACGAAAGCTCATCACCTAATAAACCATCTTGTTAGTCTTTAAAGTGCTACATAGTCCTGTTTTTTGTTTCATGTAAGACAAACACTGTAATTCACTATTTTGTCCCTTCCTTCTTCCCTCCTCTCCCCCCATTCCATATTTATTTTGGAACTGGACTTTTCATACTCCATTTATATGAAAAAATGGGTTGTACCCACGAAAGCTCACGATACCATCTACATGTTTTGTTAGTCTACAAGGTACTGCTAGACTATTCGTTGTATCTTGAGGGGTTTAGTATCATCTGCAAATTTTGCCACCTCACTGTTTACCGTTTTTTTTTTCTGATCAGGAGACAGCATCATAATAACTGTTCCCTGAACAAAGATTCAGCCATTGCAAACAGTAGGTAGCGTACTTTTGTCATAATTTCAGAAAAGTGGTAAAGTTACCTTTGCTTCTTCCTAGAGAGAGACTGAACTCTTCCACTCCCTTTCGATATACCTGCATGTCATGAGACAGAATTTTTTGGGATAACATTTACACATCTGTACTTTAGCACAGAGGTACCAACCCATTCTTACCCTTCTAATGCGTTTTCACACATGATTTTCCAATTAAAATAGGACTTTAAAATATAGTGTCTGTCACCTGGATATCCTCAGAATCCAAAAAGATTGCAATGTTTGAAATTTCATTTGATCACTTGACACCAAACAAAAGTCTAGTAGCTCCGCTGTAGCTGACTTAGTTGCTGACTGGTTCTCTCAGGTTCTGTCTGTCAGTCTGTAGCCTGTGTCCGGTGTGGTATCAGACATTGGGATCAATGTATAGAACATACGTTCTCTCTCTTTATTTCATAGTGACCTCATTACTTCTTATTCAGCCATGATGAGGATTTCAAATCAGACATGTTTCAAATCAAATATGTGAGTATTCATGAAAATAGAGTTTCATTTAACACTGGAAAGAAACCTATTGCTCTCTCTCTCTCTCTCTCTCTCTCACTGCCTATGTCCTGTATTCATAAACAATGTAGCACAAGGGAGCTGTCAGAGTGGAGAGCTGGGGGCAGAGATGAGGACAGAGTATTGTTTCAAAAACCCTCTTATTTTCCCATGTGACGCTTTAGTCCCGATATACGGTTTACACAGTATTTTGGTTCGAGAAGGCTGGCTGGTCACTCGTCTCACCCCTGCTCACAGACTCCCAACAGGAAGAACCACAGGTGCCAAACCCAGTCAGAACTACCAGGCAAGCACAGTCAACCCTCAGTGTGTTGTAGACAATTGCCCAGTGTGATTGTTGGAGAATTGCGGGATTCCATCGTATGAGGGGGCAGGCTACAAGGTCTGACATGTGATGTTAAGATATCCAAGAGGGCACAGCGATTCTGGTAGCTCTGGAACTGTGAGGGGTTTCTACAAGGCAGAAGCACTTGACTCCTCAGACTGTCAAGAAACAGAAATCTGTCCGCATCAGACCCATTATGACAGAGCAACACACCACTGAATTTCTGCCCTCATAACTGAGCCAGAGAATAAAACCTTTGAGAATGCATTTGATCATTGAATTTCCAGGAGCAAATGAACCTCAGGCCATTTGGGAATCTATTCTGCCGGGTGTCCTCTCTCTCAGTCTCACAATAGGGACAAGATCATAAGAAAGGCTATATTGAGTCAGACCAAAGGTCTGCCTAGCCAAGTATTTTGTCTTCTGACAGTGGCCAATGCCAGGAGTGAACAGAACAGGGAATCCTCATTCCCAGCTTCTCACAAAGAGAGGCTAGGGACAACATCCTTCTCCATCCTGGGTAATAATCATCGATATATCCATCCTCCATGACTTTATCTAGCTCTTTTTGATCCGTGTTTTAGTCCTGGCATTCACAATGGCATCTGTGTGAAGAAAAACTTCCTTTGGTTTGTTTAAAACCTGCTACCTAATAACTGGGTCTTGTGTTATAAGACACATCTGCACGTTTTGCCACCTCGCTGCTTGCCCATTACTGCAGATAATTTGTGAATGTATTGAATAGGAATGGACACAGTACGGACCCTGGCACGATACCACTAATTACCTCCC